TTAGCGAAACTTTGCGGTGCCCCCGGATGGAAGCACACTTGACCACCTGCAGTTCACACTCTATTCATCACCTAAATTAGCTGACCTGTCTCGACTTTTCAGATCCCAGCGCATCCGGTCAACAAGGTCAAGGTTGTTCTCCATAGTCACCCTCGTTTACTAACATATCTCGGAAGTTGCTACCTCAATTATACCCAGTGTATCGACGAGTATGTCAACGAAACCAACGCAAAAAGAAGCGTAGTAGCGAAAAACAACCGCCAAACCATCATTGTCGGAAATCCTCGATCCGCAGTGATGAGGCCTCCGCTTTCTATACACCGTGGGACTTGACCCGGTAGACCCGTATGCCTTCGAGTTACCTTGCCCCTGAAATAAGGCACTGCCGTGATCAGAACGCTCGTACCCAGTATGAGTGTACACACTTCATCTGCTTGTGAATGCCAAATACGTCTTCCGTATAGTACCGGATTTCTTCTCTGCCAAGAAATATCCACTGCTTAAGGGCCATACAGATCGGGGGAATGCTAATAAGGCCCTGAAGCATGCGGAGATAACGACACCATTTACCCCCATAGTGAAGGGCAAAATACTGCCGATGCGCTGAGCTCGCAGTCATTGATAGAACTGATCCTCCACCTCGCTTGTGGCCCTTTCATAATACATATGGCAACGAGCACATACCGAAAGCGTTGAGAAGTAAGAGGCAGGCGCAGTACATGCACTGAACAATTTCATCGCACCTCTTATTACTATGCTGGTCTATTGCAATTCTTAGCCGGCTTCATAGGTGCTACAGCGAATCTGAAGAATTCTACACTTGTTCCCTCGTCATAGGTGGCGGGATGAATGTAGCGTTGTCTATCTGAAGTTCTGTGTACCCCTACTCAAGTGCAACATGACCACTGAGGGCCAAGTACGTGCTAAGCAATCGCCTATAGTGCTAATGCATCCAGAAACAGGGCTTCGTCGTGAACGCATGTGAAGCTGCGTCGCAGCTGCGTTTTAGCAGGGTGCGTTGCAACTCGTGGCAGGCTGCCTTTCCTCCCCCAGCCCCATGCCCTTGAGCAGCCTCTCTCAGGCTACTTGGTCACAAGAACGGATGTCAGCCCCTCTTTGGAAACTCTTATCTCAAGGATTCCAACGGTATTCAAAAACTCAGCTGGCCGCAGGTAAGGCCGAGGATACTCGTTACAGTGGAACTTGTTCAGTGCAAGTACTGCAGTTGATCGTCTGCTGCCGTGTTAAGGCCAAGCACTTCATCCAAGAATACATGCCTTTTTCTCTGTAGAGAACCAACCATTGTGTAAGGGCGATAAATATTAGGGGACTATAGAGAGTGGGTTAAAATTGTTCGGTGGGATGAACATTTCCCCCTCCAAATGAGCTAATTGATCTATTGCGTCTGTTCTGAATGTGTCTTTCCACCCTTTACATGAAGTGTATGGGCTAGTTTTGGCAGCCAACATGGCGCCGGGCTGATATTTTTTGGTTTGTGCCGGGGGGACCCTTCTAGCTCGGCCTGCATATTTTGAAAAGGGCCTAATTCCTTCCAAACACTTCGAAACAACATGTTNACCCTTCTAGCTCGGCCTGCATATTTTGAAAAGGGCCTAATTCCTTCCAAACACTTCGAAACAACATGTTCCAAGTCTAGGTCTTAACTATATCGATTCTCCTGCAGCTTACGATTGTTCTTCGCTACCGCCAAGGACTTCCGTTGCATGTTGGTGCACACATATCGCTTGGTATTCCGTTAGGAATACAGCGAACATATCAGTATTTCGCAGTAAATATACAACCTTCTCTTTAAAAATTTGCATGTTCTAATTCGGAGCTCTTATGGAGGAAGCTTGCGCATAAGCCTATATCCGCTTGTCTGCAGGGTGTCAAACAGACACTTGCGGCGAGGTGCCGCAGGCGTCAGCGGTCCCGGGCCCCAGGGAGAGCTTCTGCAATTTTATCTAGGCATGCATAGACAGACTTTGGATGCGTGTCAATGCAATGCATTTACTTAATGCTTGCATTTTGCTTGTTGAAGTGGTGAGGGATGTTATGAAATAGGCCATAGGCTGACTGTTTGTTCATGCAGGTGCGGATTCCCGGCCACCGTTCGCCTTGGTATCCTTTTCCCTTTGAGACCTGAATTGGTCATCCCCACTGGGGAAAAACGCTCTCAAGGTTTTTGGACCTTTCGTGTCTAGCCAGGGGCGCTAGAGAGCACAGACTTTTCCAACTGAAGACGCACAGCGTCCGGCCCCTCGGTGCCTGGTGTAGAACCCCGTGGGTTCATCTGGGGGACCGTTGTTTTTTGCCAATTGCCTGCGTCCGCAAGGTTTCCGCACCATCTGGAAGTTGGTGGGCGTTTTAGAAAGAAGGGGAAAGGCCAGCTAGACAAGGAAGACATGGAGCAAGAGGCATGGCGGCCACCACTGCTCCTTCTGTAGGTGGGCCGTCGCACTTGGCCCCGACAGCCGCCCCCGAAGACCTCACTTCTGTGAAGTTACAACTTTCTCTCCGTCGATTGGGTGTGGGGAGGAAGGAAGTCTCGCCGGACGAGCCCTTCCTTGAGAGCCTGTCTGAGGACGACAGTCATGAAAGTGCTTCCCCACGCAGCAGTCCTCCGTCATGGACATCTTCTCCGTGTTCGCATCAGTCTCACCCCCCATCCTCTCAATTTGCAGACTTGGACGAGGTTATCCCTTTCTCGCTCTCCAAGTTCCGCCAACGCAGCAACCGCGCTGAAGCCGAGCGGAGGAACCGCCAATGGCTGTCGGGTACATTGGCACTGTTGGGGGGGATGATGGCCATGGTACTTGCGGCCTACCAGCTTCGGTTTGCATTGCCAGTGCTTAGGAAGGCGGCGGTGTCCAGCGTTCCTGCTGCTGCTGCAGGTAGCTCCCGCTCGTATCATTCCACCTCTTCTTCGCCCCCGGGAACAGGCGCCGCTGCTCCGGGGATTGCCGGCAACATCCAGGAGTCTGTGGCATCCAAACTAGCACTCCGGCGTCAGTGGATGTTTGGTATTTTCGCAATCGCATTTTCAATTTTCTCCGCTAAGTTTGTGGCGAGGCTGCACGCGTGGACGCTGGGCGTTCGTCGCTGGATGCAGCCCAATACAGTTCAACGCCGCCTGCCCCTGCATTCCAAGGTTGAGGAGGAATTCGCAGAGCTGTACAGTATCAAAGACGAGTCTGTCGGGACTAATGATGACTTCGCCTGGGGGTCGGACCCACTGGTGATGACAGCCATCCGCAAGTGTCTCGACGACTACAGAACCCTCAATAGGCAGACCCATCAGTCTGCATTTGCAATATTCTTCCACCTGGCGGCGGAGAGTCGCAAGCGGCAAATTGCGTACTCTATGTACAGGAACGCCTGCGACGCCCTCCACGCCAAAGTGGAACAAAACCGGCCGGTGCTGAGCGACGAAGTCGCCGAAGTATTGAACAGGCAACGCGCGCTGCGGCAGCAGTATAACCGCATGCAAGACGACATCAACTTCACTCTAAGCGAAGAGAATTTGCCGCCTGGCCTATGCCAGGAGGAGTTGGAATTCCTTACCAAAGACTTCCGCCCTTCACTGCTCGAACTCGCGAAACACACCATATACAGCCTGGACATGGACCGCAGGTTCATTGAAGCGTTCATCAAGCTGCACAACATCCATTATGTGTGGCAGGAGGAAGATGGCCCAGCAGACGGTAGTCCAAATAATATAGCTGAAGAGACAGACTTGCAGGAACAGCCGCAGCAGCGGCAGGACCAGCGGGTCAGCGAAGAGAATAAAAGCGTCCCCGAAGATATGACCTCCGAAAACAGCAGCGAACTGGCAATGCATGAAAGCCAGTTCTGGGATGCAAGACGAACTCTCTCCAGCTATCGTAGAGGCACTTTCACACCTAAAGTGCCGGGATTCGATCGCTGCTCTCTTCCAGAGTTGCCACTCTCCTTGTTTGCATACTGACAGTAAACACTCGTGCCAACGCCCTGGCTGGCGCGAATTTATTTTAATAAGGACTCGTATTTGGAGGCAAACTTTAAATTCTTGAGCACGTGCATAGCTTAAGCTTTTCAAGACTTCGTTAAGTAGTAGTGACTAGAGATGAAGCTGACGCCCCCCTTGCCGAATTACCACACGCGCAAGAAACCTCAGTGGAACGCAGTACACTACGGAAGTGGCATAGTGCATAGCCTCAATCAGTGTACAAATATTGCTAGGATGCATCTGTTCATAGCCCTTTGCTTCAAGGCACCGGCCTGCGGAAGTCAGGCTTGTTGATGTATCAACACCGTGACAATGTTTGCTGAAACTCCACTACTAGTAAGGAGCACCAATTGGAAGTGCCCCATACGAAGTTTAGGGGCGAACTGTCTGACTCTCGCAGCAGAGTGCTGATGAAACCCACCTCAGCAAAGCAAATACTAACTTTCTTCACTAGCAACGTTCTGCAGATCGTGGTTCATACTACAGTTTAGTTCAAAGCAAAACAGAAAATCCTAGTCAACGGCAACCGTAGTGCAAGTACGATTCCATTTAAAAAATGGTTTGCCGAGCGGCAGTCTTAACGCTTTACCAAGCTGCAGCTTTACTCCCTCCCAGTGTGAATACCTAGACAGGCAGTAGAGGCCAAGCAGAAGTAGTCTGACGAAGCAGACCACGAGCATTCAAATACAAGAGAAATACAGGAGAAACTCTGCTCGTGGAGCAGCCAGCCGTTCACTTACCGACGTTTGGCTGGGGGATCCAGCAAACACGCGAGCTTGTTAACACGAGCGCTCGAACAAGATACATTGTCGAGTTCGCCGCTCTTCGCGNGACCTACTTACATTTCGATGTACAACCAGCATGCACACACATGCGTATGCCGGGCAAGAGCAAAGCTAACCAGATGCTACCCATTTCTTGGTGACTCGTTTTAGCACTCTATGGTGTCCCTTTCACTCTTCAAATAACGTGCGAATATCCTCTAAAATTTCATCCGGATCCTCTAAAGCTGCGTCCACTGGTTCTCTCTCGAGGACCATGGTTTCCTCTATTGGCGGATCTGCTGCACTCATCATCAACAACACATCCACCGGGTCTCCGTTTGTGGTACTCTTGTATGCAATGCGCACTCTTGACGGCTCCCTCCAGTCACATTCCTTGGGCAGCGGACTGCTGAGGTGCTCCAACTCTTCGTTCAGGAATCCTACTCGGCCACGAGCAGTATCCACTGCAACAAGTGGAGAGCCCCTGAAGGGTGTGTCGACTCTGATATGCATTACACAGTCGTCATACAACTTCCAACTGGTCTCCTGTCCATAGTTTGCAAGGAGTTCGTCGAGTTGATCCTCGTCCATCACCTCCCTCGGCACAGCCAGCGGCCCTGGATTATAGTCAAGGTCCACCATTAAGCGCGAAACAGAACCGCCGGCTTCTGCAACTTGAAACCGTGAGAATGGCCCGGCCATACATGATTCCGGAAATGACATAGTTTCTACACGACGGACGAGAGACTTCCCCACAGTACCGTAGTACTTGAGCCACTTGAACAATTCGCGGCCACGGGAGGCCTTGAAAGCAGGCCTCTCCACGTATTCCACTGTCAATGTTCGCTTCGCGTTGTTCACACGCACCCCGTCAATGCGGACAACATCCCCCATTCCCTTTAATTTCTTCCCCTTACCAAAATCAACAAACACGTGGCAATCCTTTGACTCCACCCTGCTAATGAGAGGGCTCGAAATTGGGATACGGGGGCGCATTCTTCTGTGCAGCATCACCAAGCCTCCGATAAGAAGAGCCCCGATAAGCAACCCGCCTGTCACTTTAAGCATTGTCTTGTGTTCATTGGCAGCAGCCTTCGTCATATCCCACAGCCTCATGCGTTTTTGCCAGACATCAGTGCTTAGAGACATGTCCCCTCCTCTTGCGCTTTCGCGCCTTCTGCCTGGG